AGGACCAGTGGACTCTTGTGAGGACCAGTGGACTCTTGTGAGACTGTCTGGTTTAGGACCATAGGACTCTGATGTACCTGAGACTGTTCAGTTCAGGACCAGTGGATTCTGATGTTTGAGATTATCCGACTCAGGACCAGTGGACTCTGATGTATCTGAGATTGTACGACTCAGGACCAGAGGAACATGAAGTATTTGAGAATATCCATCTCAGGACCAGAGGACTCTGATGTACCTGAGACTGTCCAGTTCAGGCCCAGTGGATTCTGATGTTTCTGAGAATGTGCGGTTTAGGTCCAGTAGACTCATGTATCTGAGACTTTCCGGTTTAGGACCAGACGATTCCGATATATCTGAGACTGTCCAGTTCAGGACCAGTGGACTCTAATGTTTCTGAGATTATCGGGCTCAGGTCCAGTGGACTCTGATGTATCTTAGATTGTACGACTCAGGACCATAGGGCCATGAAGTATCTAAGAATACCCGGCTCAGGACCAGTGGTCTCTGTTGTACCTATGTCGTTCTGGTTTTGGACCAGTGCAATCTGTTTTATTTGAGACTGTCCAGTTTCGGACCAGTAGACTGTTGTATCTGAGACTGTCATGTTTAGGACCAGTGGACTCTTGTGAGACTGTCCGGTTTCGGACCAGTAGACAGTTGTATCTGAGACTATTCAGCTCAGGACCAGTGGACTCTGATGTTTCTGAGATTATCCAGCTAAGGACCAGTGGACTCTGATGTATCTTAGATTGTACGACTCAGGACCAGATGACCATGAAGTAACTGAGAATATCCGGCTTAGTACTCAAAGACTCTGAAGTATCTGAGACTTTCCAGCTCAGGACCAGTGTTCTCTGTTGTATCTGAGAATGTGCGGTTTAGGTCCAGTAGGCTCTTGTATCTGAGACTGTGCGGTTTAGGATAATTGGACTCTTGTGAGACTATCCGGTTTAGGAACAGAAGACTCTGATGTGTCTGAGACTGTTCAGTTCAGGACTAGTGGACTCTGATGTTTGAGATTATCTGGCTTAGGACCAGTGGACTCTGATGTATCTGAGATTGTACGACTCAGGACCAGAGGAACATGAAGTATCTGAGAATATCCGTCTCAGGATCAGAGGACTTTGATGTATGTGAGACTGTCCAGTTCAGGACCCGTGGACTCTGATGTTTCTGAGAATGTGCGGTTTAGGTCCAGTAGACTCATGTATCTGAGACTTTCTGGTTTAGGACCTTTGGATTCTGATGTATCTGAGACTGTCCTGTTCAGGACCAGTGGACTCTGACGTTTCTGAGATTATCCGGCTCAGGACCAGTGGACTCTGATGTATCTGAGATTACACGACTCAGGACCAGAGGGCCATGAAGTATCTGAGAATATCCTGCTCAATACCAGAGGACTCTGAAGTATCTGAGACTGTCCAGCTCAGAACCAGTGGACTCTGATGTTTCTGAGAATGTCCGGCTCAGGACCAGAGGACTGAAGTTTCTGAGACCGTCCAGCTCAGAACCAGTGGACTCTGATGTTTCTGAGATTATCCAGCTCAGGACAAGTGGACTCTGATGTATCTGAGGTTGTACGACTCAGGACCAGATGACCATGAAGTAACTGGGAATATCCGGCTCAGTACCAGAGGACTCTGAAGTATCTGAGACTGTCCAGCTCAGGACCAGTGGACTATGTTGTATTTGATTCTCTCCGGTTTAGGATA